ACAGGAAGGCTGCTTCTCCCTCTGCCACTCCCCCAGCTTGTGTTCCTGCTCTCGTGGTCACTCTCTGGCAAATAAGTAAAATCTTAAAAAAAAAAAAAAAAAAGAAAAGAAAAGAAAAGAAAGAAAGAAAAAAGGAAGGAAGAAAAGGAGGAAAGAAAGCAAGCTTCCTCTTCTCAATCACCTGACCAAAGCTTGTGTGTGAGATTTTAAGCTGTTATTTCCTGGCTCTGGGTCTCCCAGGACACGGAACAGAAGAGCCATGGCTCTAATTCTCTAATCTCCCGAGACCCACCTACCCCGAGGCTGATCTGTTCTTGCCCTTACATAGCTCCTGGGCCTCCCGAATTGAACATTTCTCAAATTGATTATCATCTCCTGGCCCCACCCAAGTCATGGCTCGGCTCCACACATAGGCTGGTCACCCAGAATGTCCACCTTCACTCCACCAAGTTCCCATGACAGATAATGAGGTGTCAGGCCCTGTTGATTCTACCCTCCTAAATCTCTCTATCTCACCCATAGGCTCGCCAGCCAAAAGGCCATTGCTTTCATGTTGCCTATTATCAACTCCTGCCTGGATTATGGTATTTTCGTTTGTAGTCCTCTTCCCAACTTCCAGTCTTGGAAGCAATTCTCCAGATGCATTTCATTTTATTTTTTTGAAGATTTGAGAGAGAGCTTGTGTGCAGTGGGGGGAGGAGGGGGAGGGGCATAGGGAGAAGGAGAAGTAGACTCCCCCTCTGAGCAGGGAGCCTGATGTGGGGCGGGGGTCCATCCCAGGACCTCAAGATCATGGTCAGAGTCAAAGGCAGAAGCTTAACTGAGCCACCCAGGTGCCCCTGAGACACGTGACATTTTAAGTTTTTTTTTTTTTTTTTAAGATTTTATTTATTTATTTGACAGAGATCACAAGTAGGCAGAGAGGCGGGGGAGGGGCGGGGGACGCAGGCTCCCTGCCTAGCAGAGAGCCCAATGCGGGGCTCGATCTCAGGACCCTGGGACCATGACCTGAGCCGAAGGCAGAGGCTTTAACCCACTGAGCCACCCAGGCGCCCCAGACACGTGACATTTTAGATAGAAATTCCTTTCCTATGAAGGGCTGTCCTGGGCCAGCACATTAAATTCCATTAACACCCTTCCTCGCCACTGAAACTAAGAACGCTACAAGGGAATAGGGTAAAAGCGCACCACACTAGGCCCGAACACTCCTTGGGAATCGCTAACATACAAGGACCGTTTCACTTCCTAGCTAAGCTATTTATTGATTTACACTAAGTCTCATACCCCAAAATGGCCCACGGGCCAACTCCGCAGTATTATTTCTGTAAAGTCTTTCAAAAGAACACCAATTTTGTTCAGGTTTCAAGTTCTAGAGGAAACCCTGCCTGCTTTTTCAGGTATCAGGTGAGTTCTGAAGCGAACAGGGATGAGGAGAATCAAGCACAACGTGGTTTTTAAATTAACCTAATTTATAGTATTGCCTCTGCGCTTGTGAATTATACCAAGTTATTTGGAGTTAGAATAAAAGGTAAAGCACAGGGTTGAGTTAGAGGTAGGCCTTAGTACTCAATATCCTGCCGCGGGAAAACGGCACGTTCAGTCCTATTTTCTTCATTTATGAGATACTAATACTGGTCTCCAAATAGGAGTGTTACAGTGACACTGCTCTTTTTTTTTTTTTTTTTTTTTTTAATTTGAGAGAGAGCATGAGCGAGGAGAAGGTCAGAGGGAGTAGCAGACTCCCCGTGGAGCTGGGAGCCCGATGCGGGACTCAATCCCGGGACTCCGGGATCATGACCTGAGCCGAAAGCAGTCGCCCAACCAACTGAGCCACCCAGGCGTCCCGACACTGCTCTTTTTTAAGATTTTATTTATTCATTTGAGAGAGAGTGACCAAGAGCAAGGGGGTGGGGAAGGGCAGAGGGAGAGGGGAAAAGCAGACTCTCGGCTGAACATGGAGCCCAAGGCGGGGCTCGATTCAGGACCCCAGGACCAAGACCGAGGTGAAGGCAGACACCCAACCAGATGAGCCACCCACGTGCCCCATTAAAAGCCGGTGGTTTCAATCTCCGCTTTCTCATATGTGAAATTAGGACCCTAATCCCCAGATCATTTCCAGTGACTACAGGTGGGAGATGGTAAGGAATTGGGTGGGGAGGAGAAGTCTGCATTTACACAAGAATTATGCCAGGATATCCTGATCCATTTCCATTAGACTGTTCATTAGAAATGAACGGTCACTTAGGCTTGAAGTTACAGGACACTGTGTTCAGCCTCCATCCTCTCACCATCTCGGAAACCTGGGGCTGCTGGGTCCATTGCCTTCCTTATAGAGCTGGGTGGGTGAGGAGTTCCTAACTCTAGTTCTAGTTACTGGTTGGGATTTCAGAGGTCTGTGTGACTGACTATCCAAAAACTACTTTGGGGAGTTCGAGGTCGGCCAGAGGTTTAATGAGATTCTAGTTAAAGGGCCCTTGGCCCCCAAAAGGTTAAGAATCACTGGCCATTTTTGGTGCATTTACACATGTCCCAGGTACATTCCAAACTCCCACGATGTTCTGTGGAGAATGTTGCAAAGGTGTAAGTAATTAAAAGAAGTTAAACGTGTGAGGATTATCACAGCAGTGGAGAAAAGCAATCAAAACTGAATTAAGGTGAGATTACAGAAAAGAAAATCCAGGGCATTTAATTAGGTCGCATTTTATTTAAATGAAAATCTGCCCCCCAAACAGAACTAGGAATCAAATATTGTCTCAGGTTAAAAGGAAACTTGCTATGCTTGAAGCTTACACTGAAAGCTAAAATTTCCAGCCCTTGACTATTTGTAGCTCCAAACACCAAAGGAAAATACGGGAAACACAGTATGTGTTAACAGGGAGGCAACTCAGGTGTACCATTAGCAAAATAACCTGAGGGGGAACATTTTACATTCCCCAATTACAAGAAGTGGTGAGAGTTTACAAGTCTTGCATTGCGTTCTACTGTACATGGCTCTACAGTAATGCCAAAAGTAGCAAAATATAGGCACTTGCTCCAACTTCTGCAGTTTACATTTCGCTGTTAACATACTTCATAAATCAACAGCAGCTTTAGAATTATAATACAGGATTCTATGTCATGCTACTGTTAATAGCATTCCTCCAGCTAATGGAAGTGTTGCTTAACAGACATAGGTCTAGAGCTCGTACAGAGATAATCTGAGGCACATCCAGATAAAGGAGTATGAAAAGCAGTCATGAAGCAACCGCTGCTGGAAAACCAGAATGACTTGGCCACGGGTGCTCCGGGAAGAGCAAACCCAAACAGAATGGAGTGGGAGGGGGTTTAAAAAAAAAAAAAAAAAAATCAAAGTTTACCACTTGACTACATAAAGCCTTAATCAGTTCAAAACGAAGCGTCTCGTGCCATAGAGATGAAGTCAGTGTTTGACCCATCAGGAGCCCCTTACGGATTGCTTGCTCTCATCTCCAGTGCCTCTTGATTGATCTTCAAAAAAACAACATCAGCACTTGGATTTTTTTAAGTCTCTAAGTTGGCAAAAAAAATTATTTAGATTAGAGGGTTTTTTTTTTTTAATTTGGGGGTTTTAAGTTTCATAACGATGTTCAGATGACTATTATATAGGAGAATAACTCCTTAAAGGGTATCAGATATTTCCCAACTACAATGTCATACACTGTTATCATGAGGTGTCTCATGATATGATATGGCCCCCCCTTTTTTTGGTCGTCAGGATTGTTGATCTAAGATCAACTACTTTCTAATTTTAACAACCTTTGTTCTTTCTGCCAAACTTGTCTTTCTAGAACATCTAGAATAAAATCATTAACTAGCAGTCATAATTTCAGTTTGCAAACCAGAGTTCTGAGTTTGAGTGCAATTTAAGATGCTCGTGTGGCGAGGCCATTTCTACGTGTGAAGAAGCGGAACACGACACAGCTAACTGTGGCCAAAGTCTGACAAAGTCTTTGACATTTTGGCATAAATTAGGAATCATTTTGGTATTATTAAAAAATACTCAAATCACCTACTGGGCAAGGCATTTTTACTATTAAGCCTTCTTAAAAATTTCTTTCTTGACGTTTCTCATTAAAACCTAGAATGATGAAAGAAAACTGACTTTTTCAGGAAGGCACCACCAGATGGTAGCACTATATCAGTCCTGTCCATCTCAAAAGCTCCTGGTTGACCTGCACTAATGCCTCTCTGCTGGGAGTTCCTCTGAACATTACCTCAGAGCAGTATCCAGTGGTGACACCATGTAGTGACCACACTGGAAACGTCTACCTCAGCTGCTTTTAGATCTCAACAAACATGCCCCAGGCTTCCTAGTATCTAATAAAACCAGCAAATCTAAGTGAAGCAAATATTTTATTTAAATCGGTTGTCAAATCACAGTTTATCCAAATGAACATAATGCAACATTGTCCTTTATAGAGTGGGCACAGATATGGCACAGACACAATCCAGGACCTACCAAAATATCAGTCATCAAGAACCTGACTTTCCTTCACGCTGTGTGTGAATGTCGTCCAGCACAGAAGAGTAGAATCAAAACCTTAAACAGCCAACTGTTTTCTTGATAAGATGAAAAACATTTCTCGCTACCTTGCCTCAGGATTTCGGCACACTCCTCTCTCCAAACAGCCACAACAATTCAGAGAAAAGGCTTAGAGTGAATCCGCTACTGAAAAGAAAAAAAAAAAAAAAAAAAAAAAAAAAAAAAAAAAACTACCTTCTAACCCCCACTGGGCTAGAAAGAAATTTCACAGTAACAATGGAACATTCTGTATGTTTCCCCTCCCCCACCCCAAAAAGGCGTTTTATTTTTAGCACACTGTGCCTAAGAGGAAAGTGACCCATTTTAGAGCGGTATGAAACACGGACCCTACTCCTTAGTAGATTTTAAAGTATGAACTATAGCTTCTGATCAGGAATGTTGTCTCTAGGGAGCTGTTCTCACAACTTCCCCAGGCTTGATCGCGGCTGCATGGCCCTCCTTATCCTGGGCGACACAAAAGGAATGTACCATCCTGCACATTTCCTTAATCGTTAAGAAAAAAAAATATACAATAGATACAGAAGGAGGGTTACTTAAAACATACATATAAATACATAAAGGAAGATACTCCAGTTTGAGAAGCAGAACCAGGTTTGGCCAACTCCAGTTCCAGGTTAAGAATTCAGGACCTTCAATCAGAAACACTGGAACAGGGTATCAGGGCAAAGTGAGGGGGGTGGCCCTGCGAGGAGGAAGTGTTAGATGGCTCTAGCTCCCGATGCAGCCTCAGGATTGTCAGGGGCTCCAGAAAGTTGAGTCGAGGGACCTGTTCTTCGGTTTTGAGTCTGGAACACTGGTCTCGAGTCTCGTCAGCAGCATCCATCCCCTCCTTCCTACTGCTCATCTTCATATTCAGGTCTTGCAAACACGTGGGCTGGACCTGGAGGAGGAAGGAAGAATGCAAAGTCAGTCAAGGTCTTCTCCTCCCTCGTTCGTTCCAGGAGCAGCAGAAGCCCTTAGAGCACAGCGCCGCCCCCCAAAAAGCAAGTGGGTCAGGACCGTGGCGGTTCAGGCTGGGCCACCCCAAAACTTGGGGCCTGTGGCTCCCCAGCACCAACATTTGGGCCCATCACACACACTGGGAAATTTTTTAAATGCCTGTTCCTACTGATGGGGGAACAATTTTTTTTTTCCTTGAGAGCTATCAACTAAAATTTCAGGCTATAGGATAGCAACTCACCATGAACTTCTGCTTATAAAGAAAAATTCAATGGGAGCACAACCGGTTTCTTAAGCCTTTGAGCCACACACACATGCACGCTTGTGCACACACACATGCCCCTTCACTTTCTTTGAAAGCAGGCACGTGGGTGTAGAATGAGCTCATTGTTTTCATGACATCAGTTAACCCTGAATGGCAGCAGGTCAGTGAGGGGAAAAAAGGAAGGGAACCAGGATCTCCTTGACTGTTCTTTGCCCAACTAAAGGTTCTGCCTACAGTCACAATGATTCAAACTCCTGTTTCCCTTATAACAAATTTGCCATCACATGGCAAGAAAAGAGGAAAAGACTGTTTTAGAAGAGGAAGCTTGCTTACATGACGTTTTAGGATCCTGTGGGTTCGGATTTTGTCGGTTCTCCCTCCTGTTTCTGAGTGTCGTCCTGCATTTCGGTTTTGATCTCTTCTTCTAACTCGCTGTGGACTTTTCCTTCTGGAAATTCTACTTCCTGGCCATCTTCCTTCTCCTTCAGTGTTGGTCCATCTGTGTCTGAGGACTCTTTGCTCAAGCCTCCTGGGGCCGCCACACCTTCCAGGGCTGAGTGCTGGTTTTCCCGCTCAACAACATGACCTTTTTCATCTTCTTGGGGTTCAGAGAAGGACCCCTCTAGCCTTTCTTCTAAGCCGGCACGATCACCATCTTCTGCAACAGACTCGGTCCCGGTTGCTTCTTTCTTTTCCTCGGACAGGAGAACTGCCTCTTCGAGCTGCTGGTCATTTATGCTGGAAGGTTCTACCTCAGCACTTGCCACCTCGGCGGAAGCTTCACTCACAGCTTCGCACGCGTCGGAACGGGTCTGTTCCCCGGCGGTGAGCGTGGCTTCTCCTTTGGCCACCACAGCTCGAGTTCCATCCCGTGCAGTGGCCTGCGGCTCCCCTTCTTCGGTCTCAGGGTGCGCCCTCCCCTCCGGGGCGTCGGCGATCATCGGCAGGGCCTGTGTCTGCAAATCAGCGGCTGTTCCCTCCGTGCTCACTAACTGATCAACAACGGTCTGGATTACATTTTGTACAAGTTTACTGCTCTCGGTCTCAAGTTTAGAAATCTCGGTTTCAGCCTTTCCATCTTCCTTTCTTGTTTCACTCCCTTGGACTTCCGGACCAGCAGTGGGCGCGTCCTCTTCCTCCGGGGACGGTCTCCGGGGTGCGGTTTTCTCTCCTTCCAGGTCAGCACTGATGCCTCCTTCAGGGGCAGCCGCTGTGGTCACGGATGTGGAGTCTGGCTGAGCCTCAGTCCCTGTGGGCGCCTCGATGTCCTCTGGCCGGGCGGTCAAGTCTTCATCTTTTTCGGAGGATTCTTCCTCTGGTACTAACTGTGCGTCTGCAGATTCCTGAGTTTCCGTGGTTTCTAAAATCTTGACAGTTTCTTCTAAGACCTTCTCCTCCACTGCTGCAGCCGCTGGAGTTAATGACGCCTCTGGGGTCTGGACTTGAACTTCTGTGCGTACCGCTTCCTCCTGCACTGGCCGGGGAGAACCTTCCCAAGCGGTAACCTCCTCTTCCCCCTGGAGGATGGCCACGCCGTCTGTCGGCCCCAGGTGCTTACGAAGCTCCTCAGATGTGGTCACAGCTGCTTTTTGCTCCAGTTCCTCTTGGGTGGCTTGAGCTGGCTCTGCTTCCGTCTCCTCCATTTCTCCTTGAACTTCCATCTCTCCCCCCGCTGGGGTGGGAGATGGTGTAGGGCTGTGGATTTCGGTGTCGTCATCCTTCTGAAATTCAGATTCTTTAGGAGCTTCATCTTCAAAGACAACTTCACTTGTTTCCTGACTCCCGGTAGGCTCGAGGTCTGCACCTGTGACAGGGCCTTCGAGAAGCGGTTTCTCTCTGCTCTCCCCACCAGTAAATTGACCTTCCTCTTCAATCACATCCATCTTTGAAAGAATGGGTACGGTTTCCACCGGTACCTCTTTGTCCATATGTTCTAGAACCTCTTCTGTTTCTGAAAGTCCTTTAATTTCTTCCTGGGATGGAAAACTAGCAGGTGTTGGAGGCAGCTGTTTGGGGACAGAAACTGCTTCTGCTTCTGGGACCTGGGAATCTTCGTGCATCTCCAGGATCTGCTCTTGCTGTGTCACAGGGAGAGCTTCGAGATCTGCTACTGGGGTGCTTCCGTTGGTCTCGCTGTCTGTAAGGGTTTCAGCGGATTCAGGAGCAACAGCCTGCTCCAGAATCAATTCTGGTTTTACCCCAACCAAGGTTTCAGCTTGACAAGTGGTTCTAGGCTCACTGGAGTCCACACTGTCTGTGACTACAGGAACTTTCTCAAAGCCTTCTGGGGTGGCCTGGATGACTACTTCGGCTTGTGTCAAAGTCTCAGCTTTAGCTTCCTGTGCCTTCACTTCCAACACTGCATCTGCCTCTTTCTTCAAGTCTAGCCCTGGAGCATCCTCTTCGGCTCCATCCAGCTTCTCCAGTATTTTGGCTCCTACATCCTGTGTTGTCTGAATCATGTCTTCTGGCCCCCTGGTATCAGGCAGCGGTGATCCTTCTCGAACTTTCTCCGCAACTGCCCACAGGACCTCTTGAGTCCGCCTCTCTTGGTCTTCCAGGTCTGGCCCACTGCCCTCCACCTCCTGAACGGGTGTTGCTTCCTCTGTGGTTTCTGGAGAGTCGGTGAGCTGAGAAACAGCTGAGACCATGTCAGCGGTCTCTTCAGCTCCAGATGCTTCTGCGGCTTCTTCAGCACAAAATGCCTCCGCACCTTCTGCAGCCGTCACGGCCTCCGAAGTTAATTCCGCCTCGCTCACGACCATGTCATCAGTGGCATCTTGGCCCTCTGGCAGAGTTTTGGTAACAACGGAGGTTTCTTTTGCAAGGACCTCTCCTTCAAGTACCTCCCCAGTTAGGGGTCTGGCTTCCTCTTCTGTTTCTTCAAGAGGTTCTGTCACCGAAGCGGATATCCAAGACGGCGACCTCTCTTCGACACTGCTAACAGCCCTTGCCCCGTCGAGGGCAGTCACCTTCACGCCATGAACCAGATTCGTACTGAGCTCCTCCGACACAGCAACAGCTACCTGCTGCTCGGGCTTCTCCTCGCTTTTTTGGGCTTGCTGAGCTTCGATTTTCTCCCTTTCCACCGCATCATACTCAGACAGAGGCACCACGGCCGGGACATCAGAGTCGTCTTCGTTGACCTCTGGCGGCCCCGCATCCTCAGCAGTGGCGTGTTCCGCTTTCCCGTCTGACCTTTTCTTCCTTCGTCCGGGAATAAATTTCTTAATGGAAACCCAAGACTCCTCTTTCCCGGGTTCAGCATCTGACGCAGAATGTTCTACAACAGACCCAGGTACAGCATCTTCGCTTTTCTCTTCCAGTTTTGACTTCGATTTTTTCCTTGGAGTGACTAATCTTTTAAAGGACTCCCAGGTGGAAACCCCCTCTCCTTCGGTGGGGCTACCCGCTTGCTCAGGTGAGGGGCTGCCTGGCCCTTGATCCTGTTCCTGAGAACCGGCAAGCGCAGCGTCCGGTCCAGTTTCTTTGTCTTTTCCTGCATCATCCGGTTTCTGGCCGTCTCCTCCCATCGTTTTCGGTTCCCCTTCATCATCAGAAGACGATGTTTTTCTCGCTCTTTTCTTGGATGATCCCACACAAATCAAAGCTTCCCAAGATACTGAGGTATCAACCCTGCGCTTGGGTTCTTCTGGCTTCTGCTCTTCTCCACTTCCCTTGGCTTCCTCCTGCATCTCGGAGGCCGCGCTCTCCGTGGAGGACAAGGTGGCGCTCTTGACTTTCTCCAACTCATCTTCTTTGTCACTTTCAGAAAGCCTCCTGACACGTTTCTTGGGCGTCACCATCTTTTTGAAAGATGCCCAGGGAGTAACACCTTCTCTCTTCTTCTCCCCGTCGGAGGTAGTCCCTTCCTCAGCCTCCCCCTCCTGCTGTGCGTCCCCGAGGCCTTTCTCTAGACACACGATCTCCTCCGGTTCCTCCGGGGACGAGGCAGAGCTCTCGCCCTTCTGTTCATCTGCACTGTCCGGAGACTCTGCTGCGACCTGGTGGTGCTCCCCCAACTCTTCATCCCCTCCTCCTCCTCTCTTCCCTTTCTGTTTCTTTCCAGAAAGCTTTTTTAAGCCAGTGCTGGTAAAAAGTTTCTTTAAAGGGCTTCCTTGAACTTTCATTCTCTCTTGGGAGGACAGCATGTCTGCCTCACTCACGACGCCCTCCGGGTGTGCAGAGAGCACCTTCTCCTCGGGGCTCAGGTCGGCCGGCTGGGGGTGGTCCCCTCCGGGGGTGCACACTTCTTTCATCTTCCTCGGCTCCTCAGGAGGCTCGGCTTTCTCGAGCTCAGCCTGGGATTCTACCCCTTTCTCAGAGGGCAGGGGCTCCACTGCTTCTTCTCCCTCAGCCTTCTCCTCTTCTGTCTTCTCCGGCATCCTAACGTGGACTTCGGCAACAATCTCTACCTTATCATCAAATACTTCTGTGGCTAAAGGGGCGGGTCTCTCTTCGGGGGCTCCCTGCACTTGATCTTCAGAGGGCAGCTCGACTTTTTCAAATTCCGCGGACAGTCTGGCAGCGTCAACGCTCTCGGCGATCTCCTGGGGGCGCTCTTGCTCGGAAGCTGCCACTTTCTCGGAGGTATCTTCTCTCTTTTCCTGTTCCTGCGTTTCTCCTTTTTCGGGCTCTTGGTCCTTTTTCTTCTCTGAAGCTTCCAGCTCCTCCTCCTTCGGCTTCCTGAAACTGGTCTTTTTTCTCCAGCCAGCCCAGCCTTGTGTGAAGAACTTTCTGAAGGGTGACGCTGTTTCGCTGGCCGCCGGACTAGCTGGTGACTCAGGAGATTTGGTGGGTTCTTTTTGTTTATCTTCCCCGTCCTCTCTGCCTTCCTCTGCTGCTTGACCAGACTCAGCCTGGAGAGAAATCTCTGTGTTGCTTGGCTCATGCTTAAGGGTTTCGTCGGGTTTCTCCGTGGATTGTTTTAGTTCACGGTCTTTGGCGGTTGCCTCTCCGGTCTCCTGGCTGGGTTCCTGGTGGTCACCAGCCCCGTCTGCGGCTCCTGATCCTTCCCCTTCATCTTTTTTGACAGTGAGTAGCTGAACAGTGTCGGGCTTCTCGGTCTTATCCTTTTTGACAGTAAATTTAAAGCCAACAAACTTAAACACCTTCTTAAATCCAACATCATTAGCCTGGGCATCAGTAGGTTGTATCAGTTCTTCTAAATTGCTTTCTGAAGAAGGAATCTGGTCGATGATTTCAGGCATTTCCTCCTGCCCATCCTTTGCTAGGTCTTGAGTGACCACGGAGCCAGCAGCCATCGCCTTATCTGAGGCTCTTTCATTCACATCTTCAGACTCTCTCTGTCCAACTATAGAAGAAAGAGAGTAGTGGAGAAGAATAAAATTATTACAGTTCAGAAAAATTATACATGTTTAAAAAACATAACCAAGTAATACTTTCTTTAATCTCAGGCAATTTCATGATAGGCTAACAGTCTTCTCAGTATTTGTAAATCTCAGTCCATGAGGCAGTATCTGCTTCTTTCAAATGACCTTTAAAAATTCAGGTTTAAAGATACTACCCTGCTCCTTCTGTTCCCTGTGAAAGTGATGTTTACACACCCAAGTACCAGAATACTAGTTATATATAAGTAGCTGCAACATCATTAAAGCGGGACAAGCAGATTCTGTTGCAATGGAAAATGGATCAATCATCACACCCATGACCTAGAATCCAACCCATTTTAGAAAAATAAGCTAAATGGCAACAAAAGAATCTAGACAAATCTAAAGGAGAGGTATTCTATGTGACAACTAGCTGGCGGTCCCTTTTAACAAGTCCCCAAAAATGGACTAAGAGCTGCATGGGGAAATTCCAGACTGGGGAAGGGCAAGTGCAAGGAACGATTTAACTTGACAGATGGGAGGTGCTCAATAATGTAACACAGAATGTGAAAAATCGTTGTGTTGTACACCCGAAGCTAAAGTAATGTGGGTCAACCAAACTCAAATAAAAAACAAAATAAAATAAAATAAAAAGAAGGAAAGGTGGTGCTCACAAGCTGAGAGGTGTAACAGAAGGACACAGCAGTCAGCTTGAAGGGGTCTCCTGCTGGACAAACACTGAAGCATAAGGAAGATGATGACAAGGATGGGGTACAAAACACTGAACGAGAAAAGAATCCATGAATCACGAGTGATACTAAAAAAGTAAAATAGGGAACAGGGAATACTTCTTCATGAAAAGTGCCAATCAATAATAAATTTAGACATAATTTCCACTTTGATCTACAGTCACTCATTAGAATTTCAAAATTCTACCACATCAAGATTCACATTGTTAAGGATGAGTTAACAAAAATGTTTTGTTTTTATAGCCGATTACACAGGCTCCTTCCAGACCATGGTAAACAGCTGTCTGGCCGTGAAAATGTTGAGCATTATAGTCTTTGAAGATGTACTTGCGTCCTTCATCCAGTATGATCCACTTACATGAAATTAACATAAGTGGATTTTCTTTTAGTTCTTTGGGGAGGAAAAGTCATGTTTTAGTTCAGTTCATCAGCTGGGTCAACCGAACTGAACTTTTCCACTGCTCAGAATAAAGTAAATAATCATTTCTCATTATGTTCAATATAAAATAATACACAACACCATTTTCATGGCCAAGTGTGGTTACAAGAAGTTTTACTGTTTTGAATGCAGCTGTGACTGAATAAATTTGGAACTAGTCATATCACCATTAAAACCAGCCATTCAGAGGCGCCTGGGTGGCTCAGTGGGTTAAGCCCCTGCCTTCAGCTCAGGTCATGATCTCAGGGTCCTGGGATTGAGCCCCGCATCCAGCTCTCTGCTCAGCAGGGAGCCTGCTTCTCTCTCTTTCTCTCCCTGCCTACTTGTTATCTGTCAAATAAATTAAATCTTAAAAAAAAAAAAAAAAGAGTAACACATACTCAGTGTAGAAAATTAGGGAAGGGGCATGTGGGTGGCTCAGTGGGTTAAAGCCTCTCTGCCTTCCGCTCAGGTCATGATCTCAGGGTCCTGGGATCGAGTCCCGCATCTCTGCTCAGCAGGGAGCCTGCTTCCCTCTTTCTCTCTGCCTGCCTCTCTGCCTGCTTGTGATCGCTCTCTCTGTCAAATAAAGTATTTTTCTTAAAAAAAAAAAAAACAGCCATTCAGAAGCAAAACAAAAAGACAGGAGTTAGGGGAGAAGTTTTTATAGAAAGGACTTGAACGCAGAGTAAGGAAATTATCTGATTTGCAGCAGCTTAAACGGTCGTGTTATTTGAAAAAGCTTAGTTGTCTGTCATCAGATTAAGAAAACTGCTCTTTGCCAGTATCTTTGTAGTAACTCCTGCAGTCAAAAATCCAGAAATGCTAAAACCATTGGGTGAAAGGGTGTCAGGAAACCTACAGTTTTAGAGTATCGACACACAGATCAAAAGGAAAGCCTGCCTTTAGAGTGGAGGTATCTGCAAGTACCACCTTAAACATCCCCACTAACGGAACAAAACTATCATTGTGCTTTCTGATGTGAGGCACTGAGAAGGCCAATAAATCACTTATAGTACTCCTGCCAAAAATGCTTAATGGAATCTTAACTGTGAGGAAACGAGCAGACGAATCAATGAAGGATATTCAGTACGACAACTAGCTTGGCAGCTATGTCAATGTCACAATGTACGACAGTCAAACAAAAACCCAAGTAGACTGTCTGCAAGCATCTTTCAAACCGTTTAAGGAGAGAGACTGAGGGTGAGGGCGGGCAGGAGAGAGACTGTGCTAGACTCTACGTAACTGCTGAATTAGGTCGCGTGTATATGACTTTATTCTGTTTGTCTATAGTTTTGAAATTTAAAAAATCATTGAGGGTTTAAACAAGCAAAATCAATGTGATTTAATAAAGGAAGGGAGATACCGTGCTAAATTAATAAACTTAAGAAGCATAACAGTAAGACCTACTGGGCACGGTCCTAGATTGGTTATCGGTGATGGCAAACTAGCCAAAGGAGATTTTTGGCTTTTTTAGGAAAACGTAACTATGATTTAGGATGAGATGAGATGAACTTTTCCTGAAAGAAGAGCTGAAGTTTGACTTTCAAAAAAAAAAAAAAAGCAGATTACCAAACAGTATATATAGTGTGATTCCGTTTTGGTTTACCCACCCCCTTACCGAAGCCCCCACCCCAGCAAACACACACCCCTCACATGATCTCTAGGGAATAGAAATGTGATTTTAAAAAAAATTTTTTTTAAATACTTTTGAAAGATTTCTTTCTTAAGAGAGAGAGAGCAAGTGAACAGAGCAGGTGGGGAGGAGAAGAGGAGGGAATGATCTCAGACTCCCCACAGAGCACATGACCCAAGGTGAGGCTTAATCCTACTAACCCAAGACCACATCCTGAGCCCAAATCAAGAGCTGGATGCCCAACCGAGCCACCCAGGCATCCTCTGATATATTTTAGTTTCACTTCTATAAATCAAAGTCAATTAAAATGGACACAGAGAAGGTCTTTTTTTTTTTTTTAAAGACTTTATTTATTTATTTATTTGACAGACAAGAGATCACAGGCAGAGAGAGGCAGGCAGAGAAAGAGGGGGGGAAGCAGGCTCCCTGCCAAGCAGCGAGCCTGATGTGGGGCTCAATCCCAGGACCCTGAGATCATGACCTGAGCCAAAGGCACAGGCTTTAACCCACTGAGCCACCCAGGTGCCGCCAGAAAAGGTCTTAATACCCACAGCGTAAAATGAAGCTTAATAATTATAAGCAGTATCCATACCAATACTTAGAATATATCTATACATATATGAAATACAGATACATTTATAAATACATATACAACATGGTCCTCATGGGCTCAGTTTGCTTGAGATCCTCACTCCCTCTCCCTCTGCCCTCCCTCTGGCTCATACTCTCTCTCCCTCCAATAAATAATTTTAAAAATTTGTTAATTTCCCCAATTATAAAAGTACATTCATGGAAAAAAAAAAAAAAACCTTTCCCTGAATTCTCTTAATGTAACACAAGAGATACAACTTTTTTTTTAAGACTGTTTATTTATTTGACAGATAAGAGTGGAAGAGAAAGCTCAGAAGCAGGGGGGGTGGTGGATGGAGGGAAAGGGAGAAACAGGCTCCTCGCTGAGCAGAGAACCCAACTGGGTGGGGGAGGGGGGCTCCATCCCAGAAACCCTGGGATCAGGACCTGAACCAAAGGCCGACACTCAACCAACTGAGCCACCCAGGCGCTCTGAGATGTGGCTTTTTAATTTAAAGGTACACAATACCACGGAAACTACACTACGGAAAAAAGTCAAACCCCAATGATACACTCCACACTAGTACAATTTTACTGAAAACGTACACAGATATCAATTAAATTTCCTGCCAGCAGTCATGAGAGAAAAACACTCATTAACTAACCTTTCTAAGCTTCCCTGGAAAATAAATGCTGAGACAATTGCTAACACAGGGGGAGAAAACAGGTGTTAATACACACCATTTCCCTCCCTCTTTTCCCTCCATGCTCCCAGATCGGTTTCAATCGGAAACACTTTTTGTTCAATTCTGGGGTGACTGGAATGTTTACAGTCACAACGAGAGAGACAGAAACCAGCAGCTGCCAACTGGCGGCACAGAGCAGCCGGCGACGCTCCCACCAGCCACCGATGCTGACACGGGCTCTTCACACACAGCGGTTTACGCGAGGAACTCAGCTCTTTTTTTTTTTTTTAATTATTATTTTTTTGAACTCATCTCTTTAAAGAGGGATATAGGATCGCGAGAAAATTTAAATCCTAACTGGTTAACCAACTGGTCTACAGCTTCTAATGACCGAAGCGGTCCCCAGGAGCCAGTACCGTCCAACAACCTTCCGGGTGCTGTGGGTGGCCCTCAAGGCCGACCCGCCCACCGCGTCCCTGGGCAAACCGCCGCTGGGGGGCGCGCTACTCACGGCAAAGGTTACTCCACCAGGGCATCGCGCGCCGCCACCCGGCAGAGAAGCGCTACAGGGGCCGGGGAGGCCCAAGCTTCTCCCAGCTGCCCCATCGCGCAGTGGACACGGATACCGCTGACGAGGGCGCCCCCTGGAGGCCAGCCACCACGTGCGTCACAGAGGGCACAGCCTCCTCGTGGTCCAGCCGCCCAGGGCTCTGGCCTCACAAGCCCGCAAGGAAAACGTCCCGAGGGTCCTGTGCATCATCCCAATGGGTCTCTTCAAACGTAAGTGCACTCAAACTCTGAAAATCCTCATGGCTAAATGACTGGCAGACTGCTAGACCTCAATACTGTTGGATTTCTGAGCTGCCTCTCTGATCTGAACTGTTAGGCAGTCAACTCCAAAATCACAATGCATAGTGATGGCCAA